GTTGTCTGTCTGGATAAAGATGCAGGTGAAGGAGACAGAAGGAGTGCTGTTACTGGGGATGTGGCCCTTCTTAACCCTACTTTTTACATACTCCCTCTCTAACTCCTCTGTTTTCAGTCTCCTGAATGCTAGCTCTTTCATTGCTTTACTTTTAATTTTTCCACTATGTAACTTTCCAAAACTTCCTTAAGCTACAAAAAAGCTACAGGGTTGCAGAATTTCAGTTTTCCTTTTGTTGTTCTATAAAACTACCAAAGTTGAGAAAACCAAAAAGTTATTCAGGGATATTTTGTGCTCTCTCATTATTTTAAAAATTTTGAAAAACATTCTGCCTCCTTAAAAGTTGCAGGGGGTAGTCATGTTAGTCTGTAACTTTAAAAAACAAGTAGCCCTGTAGCACCTTAGGGTATGTCTACACTACCCCGCTAGTTCGAACTAGCAGGGGTAATGTAGTCATCCGCAATTGCAAATGAAGCCCGGGATTTGAATTTCCCGGGCTTCATTTGCAATTGCGGATGACTACATTACCCCCGCTAGTTCGAACTAGCAGGGGTAATGTAGTCATCCGCAATTGCAAATGAAGCCCGGGATTTGAATTTCCCGGGCTTCATTTGCAATTGCGGATGACTACATTACCCCCGCTAGTTCGAACTAGCAGGGGTAATGTAGTCATCCGCAATTGCAAATGAAGCCCGGGATTTGAATTTCCCGGGCTTCATTTGCAATTGCGGATGACTACATTACCCCCGCTAGTTCGAACTAGCGGGGTAGTGTAGACATACCCTTAGAGACTAACAAATATATATGTACGGTAGTTTCATGAGTTTTCCTAGGTAACACCCACTTCCTCAGATGAGCTGGGGAAGTGGGTTTTGCCCACAAAATCTCATGATACCTCATATATATTTGTTAGTCTCTAAGCCCTGGTCTACACTAGGGGGTTATTTCGAAATAACTCCTCTTATTTCAAAATAACAAGCAGAGCATCCACACTACCAAACCTGTTATTTCGAAATAAGAGGCTGGTTATTTCAAAATGATAACTCCTCCTTTCCTTGGCAATACAGTAAGCTTATTTCCTGGTGTAGACATGCCCTAAGGGGCTACAGGACTACTTGCTATTTTGCCTCCTGTCTATATCAGTCCCTGTGGGGTGTTGACAGTGGGTCCATGGATGCCCTTATTCATCACACTCCCATCCTTTATCTAGCAGCTCTCAGACACCAGCTGGGTCTGGAATCCATGAAGCTCAACTGGGACACAAGACCTACCCCTACCCTGGAATTCTCCCAATCAGAGTGTGTCTGACTGGCTTTAATAGGATCTGCACCCCAAAGGAGGCAACAAGTTATCTGAACAATTTGGCTTCCGCTTGGCCTCATGCTATCTGTGCCTGCCTTCCAATCCTGACCTACTGAAATTCTGATTCAGCCTGACTCTTGGGATATGCCTCCTAGTTCCTGCTGTCCCTTTCTATCACGCAATACTGGCCTCCTGCTATCCTGGCTCTTGGTAACTGACTCTTGAGCCACCCCTGCCTTCTGGTTTGTCTCTCGCTTTTGATCTTCTGGAGTTCCAGCCTGGTTGGATTCCTGCTAATTAGCCCCTCAGCTAGTGCTTGACACTAATCCACAGGCCAGACCACACCTGGGTCCTGACAGTCTAAAAAATAAATTGAATTAGGTGCGTTTAGCTGGCTCATGTTAGTTAATCCTTCCCTCAACTCAGCCACTTTCCTTAACCTACACACAATGCCCAAGAGAGATGTAAACCTGCATCTGACTTAGGTTAAAGTGAAGCTGAGGTGGAGATTTAAACCAAAACATTAAAACAACTCAGCCATGACTCTTGAACTCCTTCTCTCCATCCTCTTCTTAGTAACCCTTTTCCCATTCAGTCTTATACCTTTTACTTACTTCTGGCCCCTTAAAATAAAGCATGACAATTATTTTTAGCCTCTGACTATGTACACAAAGAAAATATCTAATTTGCAGGTGTGGATTTAACCAGAATAACGACAGACAAAATTGATGTAATTTGCTACAGTATCTATCGCATGATATAGGGAACTTGGGGTCTGAATTCCCCTATCAAGTTAGAACACTTAACACACTTACATAAAAAGGCAGGAAAAAAAACAGAGTTTGGAAGGAGGACATAGAACAAGAGCAGAAAGGGACAAAAGAAGACGCAGAAAGCATTCTTTTTACAACTTAATTTTATATTCAATTTTTTCAGCTCTCCTGGGAAGCAATGCATTTCTCTTTAATAAAGTCCTTGAGATAGCAGATACTCTACAATTCAGATTTTAACATCCTGTGTTGATGTTGACTACTCAGTTATTAAGTTGTCTTCCAGAAGTTCATCTGAACCTTACATCTTAAGAATCTGTGGAGCAAACACATCAATTTTCTCCTTCAAATTTCCTCCATTCTCTTGATGGCTGACAGCAACATCTCTGCTGAAATTGTTTTTTGAGTGCTCCTTTTCCTTGGCACAGAGGAGAATGGGTGAGTCATTGTGGGTGAAATGTGACCTTCATTTCCCTCTTCTAGGCCAGACCTCAACAAATACTCTACAGAGTTCCTTTCTTGGATCTTCTACATTCATGTGATATGTTGTCTTCAAGAACAAAGCGACACCAACCACACACACATCAGAAAAAAACATGATAAAGGTTTTTCTGCTTTGTTTTTCAATCCTCACTAGCTTAAAAATTAAAATGAAGCCACAACTGATCACTCACAGGGTCACTACTTTGCCCCTCTCTCACACCCTTTAAAAATGAAAACACAAGTAGGTTAAAGCAATTTGGGAGTTTAGATCAACTCTGCAATTTCTATATATATTTAAATTTATAATATAGCAAGGAACCCTTCCCCCAAGCACTAAGAGCACTTGGCAAATACAGTAATTCAAAAGAAAAATCAACTCTGTAACATATTAATATTCCCAAAACAAGCAGCACAAAAATAAGCCAAACTCCCACTCCCCCTAGTCATCACCCCAACACAGCCTTCCTTTGGACAAACGTGGGCAGAAGTAGGAAGCTTATCCCCATGGAAGGATGTCCTCCCAGAAATCCAGCTGTTGGCAGCCCCCTCACTTTTATATGAACACCCTGGGCATCTGAATACATGCAACTCTTAAATGTGGCAAGATGGCACATGGTAGAGACGCTACGAGTCTCACGCAATTTAGGGCTTTACTGGTCTATACCAACAACTAACACAGCTGGAGCACACAGGCATGCAGTATGAATATGGGCACACTGACCCAATCTCTCATGGCCCACTTACGAAGAAGGCTGCTGCATTCCATACTGACTTTAGCTTGCAAGCAAAAGATACATGTGGAAAGCTCTCTCCCATTTCACCTACTGCACTTGGGCTATGTCTAGACTACAGCTTTTTTCTGAAAAAGGTACGCAAAATGCGTACCTTTATCTCCTTTTTTTTTTTTTTTTTTTGGAAGAGGCTTTTCCGAAATTTGGCCTGTCTACACTGGGCCAAATTTCAGGAGGAAAAAACCTCTTTTGGAAGATCCCTTCTTCCTTGTGCAACGAGGAAGACAGGACTTCCAAAAAAGCATGTCTGCTCTTCTGCAAAAAAAAGTGGAAGATCAAAAGTGTTCCCTGGTTGCGGTAGAGTTTTTTTGGGATACCAGAGGTACCAAAAACTCCCTGCAATCTAGATGTACCCTTGCTGCCCAAATCTACCAGCTCAGTGAGGTATCTGGAGATAGAACAGGGCCGACCTGACTTGGAACTTACCTAGAAAAGAGATTGTCCTAAAAGCAAAGAACAGTTCATTTTGCCATGCGGAGGTTCAGCATGGGCGCCAGATACTTCAACTGTTAGTCGTCTTAAATGCTCTCTTATGCTGGATAACCCAGGTAAAATCACTCTCTCTATATATAAAAGGTTTTTCCTGCCGGACGACAGAATGACTTCGTCACATCATCAGTGTCAACAGGCACCGCCCCCACCAACTAATCTTCTCCCTGCTGCAACGGGGAACATCTGAAGGAGTGTGAGGAGGCAGAGGCAGGAAGGCTGGGAGGGGAGCTCACAAATGGGGAGGGGAGCAGTGGGCTGCCACTGCAGCCCACCCATGGGGGTGAGGGAAGGAGCAAGGGAGGGGACTGTTGTCCGGAGAGAGTGCAGCAGCTGCGGAGCCAACATGTGCAGGAGTCACTGTCTGCAGTGTGGGGCTGGAGCCACCGCGGAGCAAAGAGGCACAGCCCTGGAATGCCAGGAATGCAGAGCCCCTGTGGGGCCAGGGGCCTTTGTTTTGTTTTTTCTTTGCACAAGAGAAGGAAGGAAGCCCGTCCCAGGGAAGAGGAGGGGCAGACTCCTGCCAATCCCACCTCCTGCCAAGGTCGGGGTGGGGGCAGGGCTACACAACAGGATTTTCACAGATTTCCCTTCAAA